AATTAATTTTGTGTTTTTTAAGAATTAGTTACTAAAATATTGTTCGATTATTGTTTTAAAGCACTCTAAGCACATTCATGTAGCCATAAAAAAATTTTGTTCAGTGTTAATTTTTTTTTATTTTTTTGCAAAACTTCATTCTTTTTTTTCTTTCCTTTACTTCGTAGAAACCGTAAAAATATTTCCGAAATTTCACTAGCAATTTTTTGATCATATCAAATTTGCCTGTGAGGCTGCAGCCAATTGAGTCCCCGAATTTTCAAAAAAAGCTTCTCTAAATACCTTCGGCACGCGGGAGAGAATGTCAACCCCGTCTGAGCGTATTTTTGACATAAAATAAAGATCTCCTCTGAATCTCTTTATTTTGTCCAAAAAACTCGGTATAGAAATATTAACAGTTTTTAAATAAAATAGTTTGATATATTTACACTAGCAAAATAATTTAAAAAAAATATAACAAATGCTGACAGATTCGTTTAAAGAATTTTTCCCGAAGCTCGCACTTCGAGTCCCTCCTTCTTTAAATTTGTAGAAAATTTCTAAAAACGCACGCCATTTCCTAATATAACGACTCTGTTTAAGCATCCATCGAATTTGGCTTATATTTGAGCTCAGCCCATCTCGATAAAAAAAAGGGAGAAGGCTCACCGAATTTGAAGAAAAATAATAATAGATAAATAATAAAATAACAGATTTCAGCTGTTAACCGTTTTCGACATATTTGAAAATCTACTGTAATAAATTGACGTTCCTAAAATTGCAGAAATTCCAGCTTAAGCCTCCCAAACAAAGTATAAAGTTCCAAAATCTTTATGATCAGTTGAAAATTGCTATTGTTGTAGAAAAAAATTTAAATTTACTTTAATAAATATAATTATGAAAAAATTGCTTTTTTAATCAAATAAGATTTAAACTTAATCCTGTGAATATTGCATTGCAATGAACGAATCCAACTCGAATGGAAATTCACACGGCCGGATAAAAAATGTCTGATGGAGTTAGCGCCGGAATCTATTGCACAAAGCTAGAACTCAGGCTAGTCTTCAGTTGATATCGTATTACAGTTGATTAATTTGTAAAATTTTCCATTCGTTTGACGAGCGAACCAGTACGGGAAATACAAAAATCAAGACTTTATACAAGTCCATCTTTGAAAAAGCAATCTCCGGCAGTTTTTAGTTGCACAGAGACAAATAATACTGCCTAGTTGTAGCCCTGGATGTGCAAAATGCATTTAATAGCGTAAGCTGGGCTCATCTATTAAATGTGCTCAAGAGCTTCGATGCACCGCTATACTTGAGCATAATTAGCTACTTAAGTGATAGAGTCCTGCAATATAGTACCAGAGATAAAGTCCAGGTGTCTGTACTGGGACCTATCTTTTGAAATGTCATGTACAATGAAGTCCTGCGGATAGCGCTCCCAAGGATATAACCCTAGTAGGCCACGCTGATGATATAGCAATCGTCCTGCCCGCTTGAATTCAGCTATCTGAGCTAGCTACATCAAGCATTAAAAGATGGTTAGAAGAAAAATTAGCAGATCATCAAACAGAAAAGAAGTTCTTGCATTAAATACCTAACCCAACCACTGCCTTAGCTAGACGAATGGCAGCAAAGCAGGCAGCTCCTCTATGCTTCTCCGATTTTGCATACAGCATTTGAAATAGAATCCTACGCCCGTGACGTTGAGTTCACTCACCGTCGGTACGCACTCCGTGTCTGCGCTGCTTTCCGCACCGTGCCAGAGATGGCAGCCTTAGTTATCGCCGGGATAATTCCTCTCGACATCGCTGCTAGGGAACAAAACACAATAGACGAGAAGAACGAAGCCACAGTATCAAAAGTGCCGAAAGACTTCTATCTATGGCTCGTTGGAAGCATGATCAAGTGGACTCCTATTTAGCGCAAGTGCTCATGGGTGCTTCAAAAACTATCTGCATCGCTTTGGCCATGAAGGCTAAATGAGTCTCTAGGCATCGACTTGACGTCGGAAATTTTCGTTAAATGCATGATGGAAAATAAAAATGCCTGACTTACAGTTAGCAGAATTGCAGCTGAAATAATGCAGAATTTGCGATGGAGCGAGCAGCAGAGGCGAAGGCGCGATAACAGCGCACGAGCGACTGATACTAATGTGGACCAGGCAACTTACGTACTGGATACATAGTGACGAGTGCTGAAACCGAGACGGTAACAAATAACGACGGCAAACGATATCGACTCAGACTATTGAGCTATTAAATCCAACGGCCTCTCGATGAAATACTGAAGGCTAGAAGGTGGGTTAAAGTCTCACGCTGACGGGGTTAAGGCTTTCTATGCTTTCCATCTCACTCAATTTTCACGTACGCAGTCTCTTACGAACTGCAAGACACTTGTAGGCATAATCTCCGATCACAACCTGTTGCCTTCACAAGTGCACAGAAAGGGAATTAATATCAGTAGCATATGTGGCAAATGTAGAGTGGCCGGCATGAATGAGCCATTGGAACACTTTCTCTGCTTTAGTGCGCCTTAGACAACAAAAGTAATTTAAAAAAACTAGTTTCAAGGCTCCCATAAACTTCGCGAAAAAGCTTTAACGTTCTACGGGAGGACTATTTATTTTAACTCTAATTAAATTGGACCTCGCTCTGTCACTATAAATAACCAACAGGTACTCGTACTATATGCAAGAAGTAGCAGCCACCCAGCTTATTCAAATCTATTGTGTTAATCCCCAAAGCAGGTTTTGAAGAATATTGTGAGAGTGACAGTCCTTGGCCGCATAAAAATATATGTCGTTCCGGTATAAAAACTGTCTGACTGTCGTTGGAACTAAGGGATTTTAGTCTAACGAAAGGCATGCCCTACCGCAGGTAAATTCTTGAAATTCTAATCCGCAGCGATTTATTTACCGAAATATGTCAATTAATACAATTCAAATGCTACTCAAAAATTTGAAGAAACTTCCAAAGAAAATTTAATAAAAAAATAAAACTAATACAATTTTTTTTTGCCAATTATGCATTCTCCATTCTTTTCATTATATGAAGAACAAGCACTTTTCAGATTTTTATTAGAAATGGATATTTGACCCGCATTTTTTTGTCAAGACTTCTTTAAAAATAGCTCTGTTAGAGTTTCGTATTTAAAAATCACATAAAAACATCATCAATCATCGAAAACAAAGAGAAATCCTTTTAGAAGCAAACAACACTGGCAAAGCGTTGACAAAAAAAATGGATTCCCATAGACATCAGATAGAATGTCCAAAACTACGTTTGAGTTATCGAAGCTTGATTTGTTGAATTTTTTATTTTCCTTCATTTTGCTTGATAGCCCATTGCTGGAGCTTGAGGCATAATGGAAGATATAACGACGAAATCGGCTGATGGTAGGGTAATTGTAATCCTACGCACTCAGCTGATTCAAGCTTATTTAGTTGATAGATCGGAATGTTAGATGCCACTTCCATAGATACCAAATCTATTTTTGCTGAAAGCGAGCAATAGCTTGCAATTCACGCTGCCGCATTATCCCCAATTTGGGGTTGCTCGATGACCGTAAGTATTCCTCTAGGTTTTACTGCTTTAGACAAAAACTTTGAAATCACTGAAAGGTATGGGGCAGGAGCAACTGCGATATATCGGATGTCTACTGTGAACAACTGCACAAATTGAAAACATCCATCAAACGAGAAGCGGCCAGAATTGTTCAATCGTAAAGACGTTATACTCTATTAGGACAATGCTAGACCGCACAGATCTTTGGTCACTCGCCAAAAACTGAGAGAGTTTGGCTGAGAACTATTGATGCATTCACCATATAGCGCTGACCTTGCTACATCAGACTACCATTTGTTTCGAACTGTGCAGAGTTCATTAAATGTTAGAACTTTCGAAAGAGACGCGGCTAGAAAATCACACTTGGTAAACTTTTTTACAGATTAAGGCTGGAGGTGCTATGAGCGTGAAATAATGATGTTGCCGGAAAGATGGCGAAAAGTCATGCAACAAAATGGAAATTACATAATTCATTAAAGTTAATTATGAAATTAAAAAAAAATGTGTTTACTTTCATTTCTTTTGGGGCGACCCAATAGCATAATCAGATTATTTTGTAAAAAAACTNGTAAGTATTCCTCTAAGTTTTACTGCTTTAGACAAAAACTTTGAAATCAATGAAAGGTATGGCGCAGGAGCAACTGCGATATATCGGATGTCTACTGTGAAGAACTGGACAAATTGAATACATCCATCAAACGAGAAGCGGCCAGAATTGGTCAATCGTAAAGACGTCATTCTTCATTAGGACAATGCTAGACCGCACAGATCTTTGGTCACTCGCCAAAAACTGAGAGAGCTTGGCTGCGAACTGTTGATGCATTCACCATATAGCCCTGACCTTGCTACATCAGACTACCATTTGTTTCGAACTTTGCAGAATTCATTAAATGGTAGAAATTTCGAAAGAGACGCGGCTAGAAAATCGCACTTGGTACAGTTTTTTACAGATTAAGGCTGGAGGTGCTATGAGCGTGGAATAATGATGTTGCCGGAGAGATGGCGAAAAGTCATGCGACAAAATGGAAATTACATAATTCATTAAAGTTCATTATGAAATTAAAAAAAAATGTGTTTACTTTCTTTTCTTTTGGGGCAACCCAATAGCATAATCAGATTATTTTGTAAAAAAAATTGCCAATTCTCTTGGCAGTGAATCTCCTTTTTGAGCTAAAGCGAGCCTAAAAATTTCCTTGCATTTTAAGCATTTTTTTTCGTCTTTTTTTTGTCTAATTTTAATCTTTTTCACTTCACTTTTGTTCGTTAAGCTGCAAATTCGCTCATTTGGTTATACAAATTATGTAAATTTTATATAAATGACTTTTGACCATTATAGATTTTTTCGGTGCATTTTTTTCTTATTTTTTGTTTTCAACTCAAAATCTCATCTATAATTTCAACACATTTTGTTCGCCCCCTGTGTCTACGCTCTAAAACGTCAAAATCTACTCACCGATATTATGTTGATTGTTATGTAAAACGGATCCGAACGCCATTAGATCCTTAACCGATGGTGTTCTTGAACCGAGCGCGGCAAAACCGTCGCCCAGAAATGACGCCAGCGCGACAGCCCTAAGGGGCGTTTTCGATAATTCGGTTAGAATTTTGTTGCTTTCGCTTAACACGCCGCCGCCGTGGTAAGAGGCCTCAAAGCCGTTAACAATTGTTGCTGTAGTTCGCGTTATTACACTTCTTGAAGCTAATTCAATTCACTAGCTTGCTGCTGTTGTTGCACTGTGGTTGTTGTTGTTGTTGTTGTTGTATTTGTGTTAGCACACTAATAAAGTTGTCACTTTGCACTTTAGTTGCAACAAGCGTTGCTGATATTGTAAGCTACACTATAACTTGATTATATTTATGTGTGTATTAAGTACGATTGTTGCCGTCGGCTATGCAACGCGTACATACATAGAGACACTTTGGCGACTAAGAAAATTGCACATCTACACACACATGCACACGCGCATATATACAATTAACGTAACACCCGCGTTGTGTGTGTGTTTGTTTTGTAAATTTTGTTTTGGGTGAGTGGGGGGGAAACGACAATCACCGGCCCCAGCTGTTGCTATTGCTGCCACGTTGGGCTTGCGCGCCTTGACGCGCTAATGCATAGAATTAATAAAGTCTACTTCTCGGCGATGAGCCAAGTAGGCGAACGCGCGCACTAATTAAACAAGTAGGTGACGAAAGCGCGACTATTCTTTTTGGTTTTGGGGGGGCGACAGATACTTTGACTGGCCGCGCGCCGAGTTTTAGCGAAAATATAAACAGGAACAAAGCCGAGGTGTTGAAGCAACAGCTTCCTTCCACTGCAGTTTCTAGTAAAGTGATATGTAAATATGTAAGTAGGCGCATAAAGTTTCATGCACGCGTATCGGTTGTTTCGTTTAATGTTGTTAATTAGTGCGCGTGAGCTCGTGTAGCGGCAGCGGTTGTAAGCGCGTGGCTTTGACGCTGGCAGAGGTGAAGGCGTCTGCACTCTATTGTTGGCGCCGGTGGAAAAAGGATTTAATGACTCGATTTTTGGCTGCTGCAGGCCAATGCGAATACACGCTTACACACACACACACTCGCGCGCTATATACAATTTCACTTGATACACTTGCACTTTTGTCCACGCGCTTCTGAACATACAAACATTTACACCGTTACGAGATATAGTATAAAGCTTAAGGCAACAGCAGACAGGCTGTTCTGAGTGAGTGTGTAGGTGTCCCTTCGAGTGATTTCTTCTGTGTGCCGTTATGTTGCGGCTGTCTTGTCTTTACAAATAGCTAGGCTTCGCGCCTTTCGACGGTGTGAAATTCACTTTTGGCACTTGACAGTTGTGATGGACGCGGCGCTTTAGCGTCGCAGTGCAGCGAGTGGGTTGCGGCAAGTGGGCTTGACTTTGAAAATGTGCAACGTTGAAGTTTCTTCAATGCGCTTGCTGTTATTGTTATCTTTGTAAAGGAAGGGTTTTGCAGAATTGGCTGTGAATTCATAAACTTTTGAAATAAATATTTTTGAAAACTATTTTTTTTTGAAATAACGTATTTTTTTTTTTGCACACTGTGGTCACAGTAAAATTTTTATGAAACTTTCTTTTTGAAAATTTTCCGTTGACTATTTACTGGACAGGTGTTTTCAGTGCCTATTTCTTTGTGGCTTCTTTTTTTAAATAAATATTTCTTACGCCACTGAAGGGTTGAAGGGTTGCCGTGCGGGTGTTCACAAGCAAACAACAAAAGCACTGTCAACTGTCAGTAGGGGCCCACGATAGCATTGACAGCTGTTTTGCTTTACGTTTTGGCACAACGCCAACACAAAATCTGTGTAAAAATTTCCTTTGAAAATTTCAAATTTATATTTGTAGTGATTTTTTTTTTTTTTCAAATTACGCTCTCTTCCGACACACAAACGCGTGGTTAATATACCATAGAAGGCGTATTCACTAAATAAATATGTTTTGCGATACCGAATGCAGCACCGTCAGGTTAAGAAAAAAACGTTTAGCGCACGTAAATCACTGTAGCTGCCACGCAGATACACACTTGGGACGAAACCAACGAGCGTACAACGCGAACGTCGAAAAGAAACTGAAGCGCGTTGCGCGCGGAGCATATTCAACGGCGGCAGCAACAGCAGCAGCCACATAGCCACGACCACTTAACGAACAAAGCACGATGCGGATGCATTGGTAACACACACACACGCACGCGCGCACACACAGAGTGGTTGCGGCATGTAGAGGGCCAAGATGAGCGCGCACCAACCACTAGCAGAGCCAGTAGTAGTGGTGTAGTAGTAGTAGTAGTGTAGTAGTAGACAACAACAACATTGAGGGAAAAACACAAAAATTATGAATTGTGACCGAACAGCTGCTGTGTTGCAGGTATCAACAAAGAGCAACAACGCGCAACCGGTTTGCCAGCCTCCTCGTGGCACACACACCAATAACTATGTATATGTGCACGTTTAACATTGCCACACACTCGCGCCACCCCAAATGGCAACAAAACAACAAATGAATACTTTGCGCTCTCTATGCGCTCAGCAGGTATACTTTGCTGCAGCGCGTTCGCTCTCACCACTGCTTTGCTATTAGGAATTCTTAAGCACACATGCGCGTCAGAAAGAGCAAGCTATATTAGTACGCATTTCCCCTTAAATATAAAATGAGCAGAAACTGAAAGGCGCATGCAAGCACTCAACACGTCACACAGCACTCTCTTATAATTCATAGGAAAAAGAGTCGAGCTGTATGAGTGCAAGTAGTGCAAATAATTTCCCTGACGCAGCAACTATCGTGCACTCGCTCGCACAAAAATCGCAATGGAGTCTGTTGCTGACATTTTTGGGTGCTGTGTGCTACCGGCATGGAGCGCGCGAGTGTTAACGACAGCCCCGCTGCCGCTAGCTATGAGCAGGCAACAGCTGAGAGCGCGTACATCTTGCCAGAGCGCCCACAAATATTGAGTAATACGAAGAGGTTTTCATGTGTGGTTAGAGGGCGTTGCTAAGCAACTGATTGCGCTCAGTTGAGGTGATAAAAGGCGGCACGAAGTGAGCGCTATTCTGATGGTTTTGTTGTTGTAGGCAAAATTTTTAGTCTTTCTTTTTTTTTTTTGGGATAACTACTTGGCAGCAGCTTGTCATTGCGTGCGAGTGCGACAGTGTGTGTGTGTGTGTGTGTATGAGTATGGATGTGTGCGTGTGTGTGCGTTGTGTCTCCTGTCGGAGTTTGTCGAACCAATGGTATTTTTCAAAGTGACATTTTGCTCTTTGCGCTTCTTATTGTTGACGTGCGCATACATGTTGTTATGTTTGTTGTTGTTGCTCCGAAGTGTTGTTGTCATTGTCGTTATTGTTGAAGTGGTTTACTGGGTGTGCGCGTGTGTGTGTATTTGCTTCCTTTTACCACAAGTTTATGGCTCAGTTTTTGTTGTTGATTTTTCTGCTTTTTTCCTTTTTGCACTTCCCTCTTGTATTTACTTGTGTTTTTGTTTTTTTTTTGCTTTTTCTTTTCCTTTTTGCATTTTCTGCTTTTATTATTCTTAGTTTTGGCTTATCAACTGTGGTGTTTTTGTTGTTTTCTTTTTTGCTTGCGCTTATTTTTGTAAAAATATAGAAGAACTTGTTGTTGTTGTTGCCGTTGCCCATAGTCTTTTAGTTCTTACGCGCCTTTTTGTTGTAGCGTAGGTTTCTCAGCTCTTGTTCTTGGCGTTTAGCTGTTTGTTGTTGATATTGTTGTTGCGGTTTGTATTTTTATAACCGTTTTCCAAGGTAAAATGTCAAATGCGCTGCGCACTGTCATTCCTGTCGGCTAGTGCTGCTGGTCACCCCTCCGCATATAATATATCTGTGTATGTATGTATGTATATACTTTTCAAACAGTGTTAGCTATGTCATCGGTTTTTAGAGGGGCCTCACGGGGCTTAGCTACATACATATACAACTGCTACTAGGTCTAGTAAAAAATAATCCAGTTGTCGAAAATGTCGGTACAATTCTGGAACTCGTTGAATCTGACCCTCATGCGAGCAATTTTTCGTTTGCCCAGGAGCCTAAATATTGCCCATAGAGCAGTTTGGAACCACTTGAAGAAGGCTGGATGCGCAAATAAGTTTGTTCTAAGAGCTCCGCGAAAAGCATACATGGTGCGAGTTACTATCAGCGAATAGCTGCCAAATCGTAAAAACTCCGGTCTTTTTCTGAATCGGATGTTGATTTTTGATGAAAAGTGGATCACTGAAAGTCCGCACAAACGATCTCCAACCCAGGATTAATGGCCAGGAAAGATTTATTGAGTGTTGGCTGGAACTTACATGAACTCATTCACTATGAGCTGCTCCCTTACGAGCACCAAAAGCAGCCAATTACTTCCAGCTTCTAGCTTCAGCCAACAGGTGGAGATTCACAGGTGTGATTCACTAGAATAACGCGAACTTTCCATCAAGTGATAACTATCTGCTCCTGTCTATGGCTTATGACTTTTCAGATGAAGAATTGGCCGCTAGAGAAGCCCGTGAGGCAAGGTTACTATGAGAGAGCCATGAAAACATCTTCAAAATGGCAGAGATTTCTCGTTCAATACGATGCATATATTAAATAAATCGAATACTAAAGTCTTCCATTTAATACAAAAGTAATGGATGAATGGCGGACGCGGGACGACAAATTGGAGCACTTCAGCGGTTACAAAGCATCAATTATATACATATATATATCAGGTGTACAACTTTGCTTCCGCCGTTTTCCGATAGGTGGCTGTACCGGCTGAGCCTGGTTGAAATACATAGATGATAATGCCTTTAAAGTGAGTGTTTCAGTGACAGTTGTTCTTGTTTTCGTATTATTCACGCTCGANGCTTTCAATTTTGGAAAAAAACGGCGGAAGCAAAGTTAAACACCTGATCATTTATAGAACCAGAGATACTGATCAATTAATCCATCTATTGCTTTTTATGCAAAATACAAATACAGAAGATTTCCGATTTAACGAACATTTGATTCTAAGAAAGGCGCATATAACGAAGAAGGCAATTTTTTATATCGAGTACCTCGAAAACCTAATAAGAAAGGATCCAGCGACGTGTACATCCACCCCTGGACAGGATGGCGTACATACAGCTAATAAAGTCATTCACCATGAGTCAGTCAAAATTTCTAACTGTGAATGGTGTCGGCGGAGTCAAGCCACCACTCATAGCAAATGAAGGCCTCGAGTTGCCTCCTCTCCTTTTTGTCCGACCTCGTCTAACAGCTCATATCTTGGACCTCCCGTTAAAAGATTCCTGGAGCGGGGTCGGGAAAGCATATACAGCAACAACAACAACAACAATACAAGAAAACAACAACAATATCAAAAACAACAAAAGAATAAGAAGAAGAAGATAATATCAAAAGCGCCTAAAAAAATAGTTGCTGGCAAATTTTCACAAAAACAACTACATATCAAAATATAGAATTAGAAATACTGTGAAAAAGCCTTTATAATTGATAAAAACATTGCCACGCCGCCACTGGATCCGTGAAAACGCAAAAGTAACATGGTAGTCTTCAACTAGTTTTGTCTTACTTTTATTTTTGTTGTTTTTTTCATTTATTTATTTTTTTTTATTACGCTAGTTTTGCCAACCAACTGAACTGAACTCGAACAAATAAAAACAAACGAACAAAAAGTAAGCAAAGGAACAAAAAGTTTGTGAAACAAATACAAAAAAAAGAAGCCCAAAGTAAAGCAAAAATATCCGCCCCTTTGACTTTTCTCAAGTGAGCGACATGCTCTCCGCTCTTCGTTTGTTGCAGCGACAGCAACACGACGAGTAGATAGTACTAGTCGCCGTTGGCGTTGTTGGCTTTTCCAGTGTTGTTGTTGTTGTATTTTGCCAGCGCAGAAACTGTCACAAATACACTTGCTTTGTACTTTTGGCGTTGATTTTTGTGCATACACACATTTATGTGTATGCATGTATGTATATCAGCGCATATGTATGTGTGTATGTAAGGTCTCAGATATAAGTTTTACTTTATTTTTATTTATATGTACATTTATTTTTTTACAAATATTTCTTTTCAGCATTCTGCCTTGCTACTGCTCCTGCTGCTGCTGTTGTTGTTGTTGTTGTAGTTGTTGTTGTTGTTGTTGTTGTTGTTGTTATTATTGTTGTTGTTGTTGTTGTTGTTGTTGTAGCTCTTCAAGGAAAATTGTCGCGATTTTCCTTGTTTATCTGTATATTTGTTGTTGTTGTTTCTTTTTATTATTAACATTGTTTTTGCAATTATATGTTGTTGTTGTCGTCGTTTTTGTTGTTTTAGTCGCGCCAGTTTTTGTTTCGCCAAGTTTTCAATGCTCAACAAGACACGGTAATAAGCCAAAGATCAAAGAGGCATACAAATTTTTAAAAAGAAGCATTAAAAAAGCATAAAAACAAGCGAAGACAAGCAAAAAAGAAGCAAAGAAGTATAAAAAAAAATTAAAAAAAAAAATATTTCTATGGCAAACGAGTTTTTGCCAGCAAAATAAGTGCAGAAAATTTTAGAGAGACAACAAAATGTTGTTGTAGAAGTTGAAGCAGAAGCGAAAGCAGGAAGTGCGAGGTGAGAAGGTGCATGGGGCGCAACTGAACGCGGAGTTAGGGTGAAGAGAGAATATTTTTATTTTTTATTTTTTTGTTTTTAATTTCAAGCTTACATTTGCTTAGTTTATATAATTTAATTTTTTACTCTTATTTTTTAATTTTTCTTTTATTTTAATTTTATATTTTCGTTATAAATTTTTTACAAAACAAAATTTTTTTATATTTATTTTCCATTTCTTGCCATTTTTTGTGTTTCTCTCCTAACATATTTTGTATTACGTTTATTTTTTTATCAGTTTTGATGTGGTAAAATCAACATATACATATATACTGAGAACTATGCAAATAACTGTGTTTAACAAGAGGCCCACACACACACACACACACACACAAACACTTGGGCTTACTTTTATTTGCTGCTCAGAGTGGGTGGGCGGCTCCTGTGTCACTAACAGCCACAAAGGCAGAAACGAACAACGTTGCGCATTCGCGACTTTTATTGCTGTTGTAGGTCGCAGTTGCTGTTGTTGGTGTTGATCTT